TATATATATATATATATATATATATATAGTTTACAAAGAATGAAGTAAATTGATTATCAAGGTTGAACAACAAATTTTGAGAAAAAATTTCAAGAAAGAAAGCTCTTACTCATCTCCTTATTACAAGAAGGATCACAAGAAGGAGGGGAAAACTTTTGAAAAGAAAACATCTTTTGATTCCTCTAAGAACCTGGATAAGAGTAAAGAAAAAGAAAAAGGAAAAGGAAAATACACCTCACACACTAGCACTAAGTCTAGTGAGATAAAGTGTTTTAAATGTCTTGGGAGAGGCCACATTGCTTCTCAATGCCCTAACAAAAAAGTTATGATTTTAAAGGGCGAAGACATTTATAGTAGCCAAGATGAGGCTACTACTTCTCCATCTTCAAGTGAGGATGAAGAAGAAACAAGTGAGGTCACATATCCTTATGATGGAGAACTTTTATGGTAAGAAGACTCCTCAACAACCAACCTAGTGATACATATTTACAAAGGGAGAACATATTTCACACAAGCACTACTACAAGACACATTTTTTACATCGGTTTCATGAAGCCATCTACATCATTTCTGAAACCGATGTAGAATAGAGTGATGTAAAAAATATATAAATTTCTACATCGGTTCTAAGAACCGATGTAGATTAGGACATAAATCTACATCGGTTCTACTGAAAACCGATGTAGATTTATGTCCTAATCTACATCGATTTTAGGTGAACCGATGTAGATTTATCTCCCCTTCTACATTCCTAATCTCATTGTTCCCACATAGGACTTATTTTTCAAGTTGATAGAGGGCGTGTGTTTTATAAAATTGAACATTTTGCAAGCCAAAACAACATTCAATCCAAATATGTATAAACATCTTATTCAAGGAAAGATAAATTAAATAGTACTTTTAATTTCCAATAAAACACTACCAACAAGAGAATGCATGGAACTAAATAAAAGCTGCATAAAATAGAGACGAATCGGCATGAGAGCAATCTCATCATTTACCCCTAAAAGTTCACCACCTAGTGATGTGTCTAAAAGACTATCTACCTTTACACTTCGCACTTCTTAGTGATAGTGTGTGCATTTTTCACATTGAGGCAATCTAAAATCACATTCAATCTAATCCAAATCGAAGGAATACACACACGTGGTTTATTACATTGCGATTCAATCAAAACCCGAAGCCCATAAGAGGTAATAAAAGAAAAGGAACGACACAAGCAGCATGCGCTGATGTTGTTGGGCCTTACCGTGGGCGTTGGACTCATCGTGGGCCCTACTTAGGGAGTACCTCGCGTAACACTTCCCGAGAAGCATGTCGTCGTAGTCCGTTGTTCCGTAGTCGCTCTTTAGCCACGAGATCGCCTCCATCAAGCAGTCCTGGCACTCTCCGCCGCTGAGGTTGCTGGTGCATTATAACACGCCTCGCATGTCGCCAGAGCCCCCCACAGTGAAGATCCGGCCACCGCTGGAGAGGACAGCGAGCACGGCGTCGCCGCTGGCCATGGCGTCGGGGTTGTAGCCGACAGAGGGCCCACACTTCTTGAACACCACCGCTTTGTCCTTGACGCCGAGGAAGGTGGCGTTGTCATACTTGACAAAGTAGCCGTCGAGCTGCACGATGCCTTTGCAGGTCTGGCGGCAGATGTCATCGGCGAGTGTGATGGTGTGCGCGATGCAGGCGGTGCAGTTCAGCATGGCGAGCTCGCGTGAAAATGGTAGAGGTCGTACAACGCGTCCTTAAAGCTAGAATTGTATCCCCAAAGCGAGCAAGAGAGTTCTTCACGGAGAGAGGGCTCTTGCGCAGGTTTAGGGTTTGCTTCTTAATACTACATCGGTTACTGGGTGAACCGATATAGATCTATTTATAATTATTTACAAAATTGCCACCGCGTATTTAATACTACATCGGTCCCACTAAAAATAATGTAAAACACTCAATATTTACATTGGTCCCAGGCATAACCGATGTAAATATGCTTTATATTATATACTTATTTACAAAAATGCCACCGCATTTGATTTCTACATCGATTTTACCTAAACTAATGTAGAATTGACGACGTTAAATAGTAACTTTCTAATAGTGAAGGTGTAATATTTCAAATAAAGCATGTTCTCTTATTATGGATAGTGGCTCTTGGTGCAACTGTTGTAGCACTAGGATGGTTGACAAGTTAGGGTTAACTACCACACCTCATCCCAAACCTTGTCAACTTCATTGGCTAAATGATGATGGGGACATGGTAGTTAATCAACAAGTAGAGGTAGAATTTTCTATTAGGAACTATAAAGGTAAAGTTAAATTTGATGTAGTTCCCATGCAGGCTTGCTATATCTTATTAGGAAGGCCATGGAAATTTGATAAGCAAACCACTCATGATGGCCTTACTAACAAGATAACCTTCATGAATAAGGGTAAAAATTTTGTACTTGATCCTCTTTCACCTTCTCAAGTGGTTGAGGATCAAGTACAAATGAAGGCTAAACGTGACCAAGAAAAAGAGTTTGAAAAAAAACGAGCAAAAAAAAAACCCTAAAACTTAGGAATCAAGAGGATTCTAGAGAGCCTAGTGTTCCCTCTTTAGAGATAGTTCAACAAAAAGAGAACCTTTTACAAAATCTTTGTCAAAAACATCATTTTTGATTGAACCATCTTCACATACTATGCCACAAGTCATGTAGATAATTCTCTACCTCTTGATATTCAAAATCTTTTAGTTGAATTTGATGATGTATTCCCTAGAGGCCTCTTGGTCTTCCACCTTTTAAAGGTATAGAAAATCAAATAAATTTTGTTCCAGGAGCTACTTTTCCCAATAGACGAGCTTATAGAAAAAATCCACAAGAAACCAAAGAGATAGAGAAGCAAGTACAAGATTTGTTGGATAAGGGCAGGGTTCAAAAGAGCTAAAGCCCTTGTGTTGTGCCTATTTTATTGGTGCCAAAAAAAGATGGAAAATGGAGGATGTGAAGTTAGACATGAAACACATAGAAGGGGGGGTTGAATATGTGTGTATGTGAACAAGGATATCTTAAAAACCATTTCTGTAAGAGTAATATTCTTCGTCCATTACACTTTTAGATACCGGACAGTTATGCAGAATTTGCTTAATACAAGGTCATTTCATTAGAAAGATTTATCGTCTACTGAAGGAAAATGTTTCGTATAACAATAATGATTGAAACTCTTGCATTTTCCTTTTTAAGATAGTTTTGTTTAAGGATAAGAAGTACATAAAGCTTTTCAATGTAATATATTTGTTAAACAAAATTTGTGTCTTCGTCTGAAAAGTGGTTTAAAAGAAAAGTTGACAGTAAACGAAGTTTTCAACACGATTTGTCAATTAAGAAGAATTTGCGTCTGAAATATAGATAAAATCGTGCAATCATTTTTAAACTGGTTCACTCACAACCTTTTATCAGAGCATAATTGATGGAATCATGCCTAGGAAGGCAAGAGGTGACATATTGATAGAGGAATTTATACTTATTTTACCTATTCCCATGATTTGTCCTTTTTGTCCTCCTCTGAATGTGACTAGGCCTCCTTTCTTGGACCTGAGGTCTAGGAACATAGACCTTTCGCCTATCAAGTGTCGCGAGCAGCCACTATCTAGGTACCATGACTAGACACTTATTTTTCTTGTTGAAAAAATCTGCAACAAGTATTATTTTAGTCTTTGGTACCCAAATAGATTTGGGTCCACAAATGTTAGTGTTTGAGGTTTTGGAATACCCCTTATTGTGCATGTGACTGCACTTAGACGTGAAATGCCTATTATATATAGGATATGCAGATGTACTTGCTTTGTTTTTAGATTCAAAATTAACATACCCTAGCCCAGACTTATCATTTTTACTTTTGGAATATTTCAAAAGATTTTCAAGGTTCTTAGTTCCTAGAGTAAACTTTGATAAATCAGATTTTAGTATTTCAATTTCTTCAAGTCTTTGTTCTAATTATTTTGATAGTTTAGCATTTTCATTCTTGACCAAAATATTTTCTTCAACTAGTTCAGAAATTATTTTCTTCTGTTCTTTATATGCAGTAGGGATTTTGGCAGAATCAGTTAACAATTGATTGTATGCATGCTGAAGATCTTTGAAATCAGACTTACTAACCTCTTCATCATCAGATTCAAATGATGAGTTTATGTCTGCCATTAGACATATGTTTGCCTGTTTATCATCTTCAGATGATGTCGTGTCCAGATCTTCCTAGGTGGCCATCATGGCTTTCTTCTTATGGGGAGCTGACTTCTTCTTTTCTTTCTCCCTTTCTTTTTCTAACTCTAGACATTCTATTTTGTAGTGTCCAGGTTCTTGGATTCATAGCATAGTGGTTGAGCCTTTTCTCTTGGGGTTCTGTTGTACTTTCTCTAGTGCGATCCTCCCTTTTTCTTCATCATAGAGTATATTTTTCTAGACAAGAGGGATATCTCATTGTCTGAGTCACACGTCTCCTCATCACAACTTTCTTTAGTTGCTTCTTCTACTTTTAATATTTTTGACGATGATGAAGTAGGTTTCGTCTTTTGCGCACTTAGTGCAATGGACTTCTATTTTCGTCCTGCTTCATCTTGTTGTAGCTCCACCTCATGAACTTTGAGTAGTCCAACCAGTTCTTCCAGTGAGAGATTTTCAAGATCCTTGGATGCTCTCAAGGCTGTGACTTGAGGTCTACATTTCTTGAGTAGACTACAAAGTAATTTGTCAATATGATCAAAATTATCATAAGTCCTGCCTAGAAAAGAGAGTTCATTAACAATAGTTTGAAACCTTACAAACATAGATTGGATAGATTCGTTTTCTTCCATTTCAAAGAGTTCATACTTACGGACCAACAAGCTTAACTTGTTGCTTTTACCTCTAGAAATCCCTCATAGGTTATGGCTAGTGTATCCAACATTTGTTTGGCGTTCCTGAAGCTATGTACTTTGGTATATTCTTCTTCGATTAAAGCACACATGAGTGCGTTTCTAGCTTTGGAGTTTAACATAAATCTTCGTTTTTGATTTTCATTCCAATGTCCCTTGGGTATCTCCCTGCCAGCATCATCATCTGGAATGTAGTCTCCCTGTTCTACTACCTCCCACATTTCTATATGACAAGCATCAAAGAATGCGATCATTCTTTGTCTCCAATAGTCGTAGTTGGTTCCTTTGAAGAGAGGTGGACAATTTACTACCTTTCCTTCGTTTTCCATGATCGTTCCCCTGTAGTGTTAGATGTTCAAACCTTGGGGTCAAGCTCTAATACCAACTGAAGTTTAATGAAAACACATAGAAGGGGGGTTGAATGTGTGTGAACGAAGGATTTTAAAACCGTTTTCACAAATGTGCTTCTTTTTATCTGAAATTAAGGTTATAAATGCTTTGACAAAAATGCAGAATTGGTTAACAGAAGCCTTGCGTCTAAAGATCTATCTTCTGCTCAAGAATGGTTTCTTGAACTCAACAAATATAACTTGGTTTATATATGATTTAAAAATTAAGTAGTAATAAACAAATTTTGATAGATCAGTATAAGAAAAAACTATGTTTTTAACATAGATAATAATGCACAGAGTTTTTATACTGGTTCACTTATTCTGAGCTATGTCTAGTCTCCTTCAACTGAAGGATTCCACTATTCACAATGGATTACAAGTATTCTTAACCACTTCTAGTTCGTCAACTTCACTCGCTGACGTTAGTATTCTTAAACCACTTCTGGTTACCCAAGTATTCTCAACCACTCCTGGTTCGTCAACTTCACTTGTTGACGCTATTATTCTTAAACCACTTCTGGTTACCCAAGTATTCCTTCGCTAGCCTCTTCAGGCTTTACAGACGATAATTGTTTTGAGTGTGTTTGTAACTCTCATAGAGAGAATGAAATAGTTTCGACACTCACTAAGGTTTTCAACCCTAGTTTTACAAGAATGTGTTTAGATTGTGTATGTACCTCTCACAAAGAGGATAAAATGATTTCTACACTTACTAAGATAGGCTATCTTAGTTTACACTAATATTCAACTTTTTTACAAGAAGAGAAGTAAGGTTGTTTTGACGCTTGTTTTGCCCTTTTTTTTGCTTGTTGCTGCTCTCTTCACTTATTTTCTTCTCAGGTCTTGATATTTATAGCCTTGTGATAGATTTGCCCGTTATTTGAATTTGAATGTGTTCACTGAAGCGGTGCTTTCGGTTGGTGCAGATAAGCGTTCGTTCATAGCTACACAGATCTTCTTCATTTAATGCATTTGATTTTGCATTAAATGCTTTGCTTGTTTAATCTGTGTCACGTGAAGTCCTTTGCATAATTTGTCTCCTTTTATTTCTGACTTCAATCATGACCTAGGTATATTTGTTCTTTTTCCGTCATTGTAGCTACGGAGGCATTGCCTTTCTCTGAAAAGTAGGTGTACTTGCCCTGACACACACATCTTTGACTTGTGAATTCACGCTCTTGTATTTTTCTTCTTTCTTTTTATATCTTTGATAACTCCGTGCGCTTTTCTTATAACCTAAGATGATGTATGATTTTCCTCGTTGTGACTAGCGGATTCTAGATGCTTTTCATCATGCTTTGTTTGCGTCTGGGAGAATGTGTTTCCATCTAAGATTTACTTTTTCATTTCGTCTGATTAGTCATAAGGATGAACAAATCTTATTCCGTCTGGAACGCTTCTTCCTCTTGGATTATCCAATGACTGATGTTTG